AGTCAATAAGGGAACAAGGAGTTGCTGGGGACTGCCATGAGTCAGAGAGAGAGCCAGTGAAATGAGACTTGAAATCAGGAGCAGCAGAACCTTCCTCTCAATGAAGCTTACCAATGATAGACTCCACACCTGCAGCTAATGATAATAAAGAACAAGAAAGTATAACTATATAAAATATATTATCACAATTATTATATTATCACAATATTATCACAATTTAATGTGGGAAACCTGATTTTCATAATGCTCCATTAATATTATCACTACCTTTATTCCATAATGCATTCCATTTCCAAGATTATTAACAGTCTTAAGACACGTCCCATCTTTACCATCCCACAATGCTATGCACCTATTAATATAACATTAATAACTAGCTACACCCCTACCACATCAACGCACCCATTTTTACTAAGACTGACAATCCTGTCCCTGTCTCCAGAATCCATTTCTAGTAATAATAGTCTCGGACATAACTAAAAAATGGGGGAATTAATTGGAAATAAAAAATGATACATAAAGGCTTTTAAGTGATAGTGATAATTGGCCTAACCACAAACTCTCTGTTGATTCTCTTCCTGTATAAGTTTAAGATACAAATCTGTCTCGTTTTAGTACCAGTAGCTCCTCCTTTATCCTCCTCTGTCCAATTAAATACACAGTATAATAGTCAGTATCAAAATCCAAAGCTCTGTACCTGGTCATACAGGTGATATCGTGTACTGGAGGATGATGGCCCCAAAACACAATAGGAACCATAATCTCATGACTAGTTGGCGCCAGTTGGGAACTTGGGGTATAAAAGTCGATAAAAGTCTTCTTGACACTCCGTACTCTTGATAATATCTATGCTGAGATGGACACCATTTTACACACGTGGGCTGCGTGGGCGTGAATTTTAGGCGTGGCTAAACACTGATGAGAGACCAGGACCAGAAAAAAGTAAATTTATGAAGTTGCTTTATTAATATTAGCATACTTTCCTGATGCATGTATACATGTACTTTAAATGTCCAAATAATAGAAGGGAGTTGGGTCTGGCTACGCAAGACTACAGGGGGTTGGTAAAACCGGGCTCGGGAGGGGCTCGGGCACGGGAAATGGGGGGGTAAAACCGGGCTGCCCCAAATTGGGGCCGGTTGCTTGAACTATTATAATGGACTGGAGTAAGGACTGACATGGAACTAGCAAGAACATAAAACAAACTACTGAGTAGTGTTGTTTTAGTTCTTTGGTACTGGAACTAAAATATAATACTAGTATTGTGATATGCATTTTAGTTCCAAGAACTAGAACAGAACTAAAATTATTTCTGACTTTGGCA